TCTTCTCTCTCTCTCTCTCTCTCTCTCTCTCTCTCGCACACACAGAAAATACTAGTGGAAAACATAGGACAGATACCTGTTCTTTAGGAAGTGTCGGGTTGAGTGCAGGCCGTGCACAAAGCACCTCAAAGAGCACCACCCCAAATGAATAGACATCACTTTTCTCTGTAAGTTGCTGCCTCCTAAAATATTCAGGGTCCAAATACCCGAAACTCCCCTTCACCACTGTACTCACATGAGTTCGATCAACTGCAGGCCCAGTCTTTGAAAGCCCAAAATCTGAAACCTTAGCCACCCATTTTTCATCAAGTAAAATATTTGTAGTCTTCACATCTCTGTGTATAATTGTATGCTTTGCACCGGTGTGCAGATAGTGCAATCCCCGTGCCGCCCCGATACATATCTCGAGCCTTTGCCTCCAACTCAACGGGGGCTTACCTGATTTGTACAAGTGCTCCCTCAGAGTCCCGTGAGCCATGTAATCATAGACAAGAATCATTTCACAGTCTTCTTCACAATAGCCAATCAGTGAAACCAGGTGCCTATGCCTTAGTTTCGAGAGCATCTCGATCTCAGTTTGGAACTCGTGGACACCTTGTTCAGATAGTGGGTTTCCTCTCTTAATGGCCACCTTTGTGCCATTGTCAACATCTCCTTTGTAAACCTTACCAAACCCACCAACACCCAATAGCAAAGACTCATCGAAATTGTTCGTTGCTTCCTTTATCTCAGCAAAAGTGAAGTGGCGACATAGATTAGCAGGGAGGGAGGAAACATGGCTTCCTGTTCCGCTCTTTCCTGACACAGTTGAGGCCTTGCTATTTCCAGAGTGAGAGTAGAGAGAGAGTGGAAGCCAGCCCGAAGGGCCACTCTCACTACCACCTTGGCTTCCCTTTGTCCTTCTCCCACAACAAAAGCAGCACAACCCCCCAAGAATTAGCAGAAAGACCGCTACACCGGCAGAGGCCCCACCAATGATGGCCCCCCTGCTTCTTGAATCTGTTGTTTTCGAGCTGTTTGGAGTGGAAGGGGCAAGGGCAACGAAGGGTGGTAGATTAGGGTTCGAACCAGCGAGGTTACCATTACTGTCATTTCTCTTGAAGATCTCGAGGCCATTCAATATAGAATTATACCACTCAGACCCTGACTTAGTGTATGGGCGCAAGGCTACCCATAAATCAGTTTGACTATTACTTGTTTCCTGATTTGGTACATAGACTATGTAGTCTTTATAGACTGGAATTCCAAGGCCATGTGACCATGCTATCACATCGGCCATCTTCTCGGCTGTCTGGTTATTCAAGAATATCTCAAAGACTCTCTGGTTTACGACGGTAATCTCTGATTGAATCTCGCAAAAATGGAGCCTAACCACATAATAAAAACCTGGGTCTACAGGAAAAATCCAAGTTAAATTAAAATTCAAATTGACCTCCCAAATGGGTCCCATGGCTCGAGCTGAGGCATACACATCAACTGGAGCAATATAAGCAGGGGTGATTGATGTGTAATTGATGGTCACATTCGGATCCTTATCAAAAGTTACACCATAAGCTGCCCCATATATATAAGGAGTGTCGTCGTACCAAATTCGAGACAAGTTTGAGTCTTGATTGGGTGATATGTACTGTCCACCCACATTGAGCCGATACATAGTTTGGAGAGAATCAAAGGGGCTGGCTACAGGGAGACTCTGAGGGGTAGTTATAAAAGGGGCAACAACACTCAAGAGATCAACAGGCATAGAGAAGATCTCAATGCCATTAATGAAGGCATATGATCCTGAAACATCGAGCATGCGTGAGAAGGTGAGATTAAGGGAAGTATCAGTGGCATTGAGTGAGAATTCACGAATTATATAGGCCAAATTTCCAGAGAGGGCAGCAGCTGAGGCACTAAAGTTGTGGAGGAGAGAGAAAGGACCAGAGGTGACAGAGAAGAGAGCAGCAGTGGAATTATGTGGTTTATAATCCGATGGATAGAAGTAAAGCCTAACCCAATGTCGACCAGGTGTAACTGGAAAGGTGTAGGTAAAATTGGAGTTGAAAATACGGGCAGTCATGTAAGGGGTTTTAGAGGGGAGAGATGTGTCTTGATTGGAAGCTTGGACAGGAAGGGTGTTTTGGGAAGCGGGGGCGAATCTCGAATTCGCATCGCCAGTCCAATGGCGGTTATCGGCATCATTCGAGTCACTGTCTGTGCCACAATCTAACAGGATGACATCTTTTGGGATGAACGAATCAGAGGCAGCACTAGTGAGACAAAAAAGGAAGAAAGAGAGGGAGACAACAATTAGTAGAGAGAAGTAAAGGGTAGAGAGCATGGATTTTCTCTTTGGAGAAGACATTGAGACCTTTTGGAATTGTGCTGTAACTGAGTAAATGTTTTCGTAATTTGGTTGAGATGGGTATGGTATCAGAGAAAACAAAGGTCCAATAGGTTACCAAAATGATGAATTTCTTTTTCTTCTCCAAAACCAGGTAGTGGCATTTCAAATACAGAAATATCAGCTCAACTAAGAATCACAAAGATCAAAACTTCTTTCTGCATTCAATGAAGCCCTGAAACCCTGAGATCGAAGGATCAATTGCAATTAAGCCTTTTGCCAACTTGAATCAACCAATATTTCACATAGAAAACCAGAATTCAACATACAATACAAACCATTAGCCACCCCTTCAGTCTATAATAACCCTAGATCTCCAAATCAAAGGATCAGTCGCTGCTTTGATTTATGATATCAAACAGTCAACCAGCTCTTCTCCAAGCAATGAACTACAAATACCAAGATTAATCAATATCTGGCCATCAAACAAACCTTTTAACACAAAATGAAAAGGATTGATCACCTATCAACTCAAAATCTAGCTGTTAAACTGATAATTACCTGTTATCCCCTTCCTCCAAAGCTTAAGACCAGATTTTTCTCCACTCCCCTAAAAAAATTACCAGAAATAGCAAAACTAAGAGACCTTTCAACCGAATCAAGAGCTTCAAACTGGTCCAAACTGAGTCAACAAAGCCCAGATAATCAAAATTTTCTCGAAAACCCTCGAAAACAGATTCTGAATCAAACTTTGAAGCTGGATTTTCAACTGCTCAGAGTGATTCACACTGCTTCAAGCACAATCAACTCCTGAAATCCAGAGAACTGGGATCTTCACAAACTCCACCATAAAAGCACCAGAGATAGCCAAAAGACCCAGCTTTTGAAGCTCTTCAGCTGCTTTAGACTGGTTTAAGCAGCATTAAATGGATGAAACCCCATAAATTCAAGGTATTTCACGCCATTTTGAAGACAACTCAGTGAAAAGACAGCATTGCTAAGGATTTTTTTAGAGAGAGAGAGAAATGGAAGACAGGCTGCCTACCTGAAAACCCTCGGACGCGGTTTCGAAGGGGACGGGATCGGAGTGCAACTAGCGATGAGGTGGCCTCCGCCTTTAATGGTCATTATTTATGGAGTCCACTTTATCAGAGAAGATGGAAAAATACTTTACTATTCATTAGAGAGAGAAAGATATAAATACTTTACTAGTTTACTTTCTTTTTAGAGAGAGAAAGTAGGGTAATAGTGTACTATGCATTTGGTTTTGCCTTTTCTCTAACCTCCACAATATCATTAATTCCCCCAATGCTCACCTTTTTTCTTTTCTTTTTTTGACAAAATTTATTGGCTAAAGTTTTTATAAAGTCTACCTTCATGAAAACAAAATAAAATCTCATTTCAAATTCTCATTTAGAAAGCACTTTTGGCAACAGAAATATCTATGGCAGTTCTAAAATCAATATCCAACACCGACAAAAAAATTTGATATTAAAAAAATGTACAAATGTCATGGATATATAAACACCTAGTTTTAAAGCAAAATAAACAGTCTAAATAATTTGTTTATTGTTACACACTATTTTTAAAGTTAAAATCTTTATTTTCTTTCACAACCATAATTTTCAAGCTGAGATAATTGATGTAAAGGTTTTTCACTGCTTGAGTTGTAATTTTCAATGAATTATGATGCGAGGCTTTACTCATTTGGTTAACATTGCAACTTGATTATGGATTCTAAAGCTTGAAAGAAATCCTATTTTAAAGCTAGAAACTCAATTGATGTAAAGATTTCTTGGCTTGAAATTTTTATTTACACTCCTGGTTGTGGATTCTAAAGCTTTGAACTAATATAAATATAGTCGGCAAATACTTGATTTTTTATTTTTTTTGTGCATACATTTTTGCATACGAGCGGTAAAGGCGTATAATATTCTATTTCTTTTGGAATGTTAACTTGAGATACTGGAGAATAAAATTTTAGATGTCACATTGTGGCATTCCGCTACCCTCATGAATCTTGTCTTTCAAACCTTTGTAATTTTGCAATTATATTATTACGTTTTTTTTGTTATTCTCATTCCTACACACAATAGAGAGAAAAAGAGAAAAAGAGAAAAAAAAGCTTTTTATATTGCCCTTTATTCTTCCTTTCTTTTCTCCAGTTGTATTGTTAGAAAGAGAGAGATAGAGAGGGATAGGGGGGAGAGAGAGGTATACTTTTATTAATGACTAATATTCACTATTTAGTTCCAATTAGTGATTTAAAAAATACTGGGTTGATATAGAATCGTTCGGTCTGATTTAGAAATCAATCATGTTGCTTTGGTTCTATGTATATATAAGAAAACAATCGGGTCTAAAAGGGAACGAGCAGTTCTTTACAGTAAAACAACGATCTAGATAACGATCCAAACTGTGAAGTCACCGATCCAAATTGGTTTTTGGCTATTTGTTGTTTTTTCACATGTGTTTTTGTTGGGTTCACTGTTTCTTCTATCCAGTAAAAAAGCGATCTGGATCGCCAATTCACTAAACCAAACCGAATTTTAGGATGCCCCAATCCAGGTCACCCATCCGTTTTTTAAATCACTTGTTCCAATATTTAGTTGGCACCCTCATTTTTATGTTCTTAAGAAGAAAACAAAGGTATTGATGAAGTGTTGGGCTATAACTAGGACAAAAAAGGTATTTTTGGAAAACAAAATATGGCAAAGCTTAGAAGCTATAGATATATCTTGTAGCTTCGCCTTTAATCTCACCTATTAATTGTTCATAAAAAAACTTAAAAATACATAATTGTTTAAAGAATAGCTATAAACTTAATAATTGATTATTGTTTGCTTTTAATACATGAGTGGGAAGAGGTTGCAGAATTAGTGAAAGTTCTTTGTATTATTTATAGCTTATTTATTAATTACAAATAAACGTGATGTAAGGCGTTGAAGCGGGGTGCGGTTTGTACAGAGTCTAGGCTTTGAACAATCAAATTAGAGCCTACCTTCAAATAGTATCGAAAAATGTAGTTTAAATACTGAAAATCTTTGTGATAGCCTTAACATATATTTTTATTTTTATTTATAAATTTTAAAGCTTAAAAAATAGTGTTGATCAACAGATCTAGGAAAACTTAAAAAACCATAAAAATTGATAGTCCAAAAATGTGATACAAAATAGACTATTTCTAAAACTTTAAATCCATTTTTTTCTTATGTCCATGCATCTTGATGTCGAGATGATCAATTTGAGAATATTTGATCATCAAAACAACCTATTCTGATCAACTTTTTGATGTACACTCTAATTTGATTGTTTAGAGCCTCGGCTCTATATAAACTTTTCCCCGGTATGGAATGAGGGAGAAGTATGTTTGTAGATGTCCTATGCACAAGCGTATTATATGACTTAATCAATTGCAGATCATAAAACAATGAGATAGAATAGACGAGGCTCGATCAGACCGGCCAACAAAGTGATGGGTTTAATCCAATTGAAATCGATTTTACTACTAATGAGAATATAAATAATAGTTTAAAAATATATTGTCCTCTTTATTTGGCCAAACCGGTTATAGCCGATCAACAGACCGGCCAAAAGCATTTTAAACACTAGTTTTGAGTACTTTTATTGAACTTGACCGGCAAAGCAGTCTGACCAATCAAACCACCACTCAAGTCTTGTCTTAATAATTATGATTCATACAAGAACCTTAACAATCAAACTAAGGTGGGCCTCTAGACCCTATGGGAAGACAGAGTTTCATTGTTGGAAATTTCTATGAGGACCCGAAGATCTATTTTTATCCTTAATTACGAAACTGAAAGCACAAAAATGATGCACTTCAAATAGATCTATATACACTAAAATCCTTAAAATTGATGCAGTTCAGGTAGATCTATATACACTAGAAACGTTGAGAATAAAAAGTCCAAATAATGTATTATAAGATATACTGCCTTTAGGACTCATGAATCTTTTTCTTTCTATAACTAATTTAAAGGTTTTTTAGGGTCAGAACAAGTTTTCCGGCATCAAAACCCTCTCTAATGATGAGTTACAAATCTCTCTCCACAATAAATGCACAAAAATGTGTATTACTGTCACAATAAATGTACAAAAATGGGTAGAAAATGACATGGTATATTTGTAATAGTTTCACCTTTTTGTAAAGAATATGCACACAGTGAAGTTAGTATCTTTCTTCATTTACATTGTTAGTAGCAAAATCATAAGATGGGAAAAAATAGAAAGATGCCGATTTGTGAAAAGGTTTTATTTTACTCCATAGGGTATTTTTGGTCTATGCTCTCACGGGACCATATTGTCCATTACTCCCTCAGGAAGAACTCAATTTAGAAGTATTTATGGACCCCCAAAGGTTGAAAACCTTCACATCACGACTAACCTCAACATAACATGATTTGGGATGGTATTTTCTATGAATGATGTCTCAAATTGATTTTGATTTTTGGAGGGCAAGATTTAAGTGTTGAAGAACTCAAAATCCAAATCCTAAGGTAATCATCTAATGATTATGAAGCTAATGTCAAAATTTCATACAAAAAAAATAGTGAAGTTTGTATGAAGTGCCCACACGATTTCATGTAAGTAACACACACCTTTAAATTTTGTTAGAAGATGTAGTTATAGTGTTTAAAACCTTACAATAGTGCTTGAAAATCCATGTTCAACCTTGATCATGAATTTTAAATTTTACAACAGGTGTAGATGGATCTTATCTATAAATTCTTGAAAATCTTGAAAAATATATATTCAAGATAATTTGTTACAAGATACATTATTTTTAGGACTTGAAATTCTTTTTTTCTTTATATACATACATATTTGAAGTTGAGATGACCAATGGAAAAATTTTCCAACTTCAAAACATTATTTTCTACATGATTTTTTATGTGTACCTTAATTCTATAGTATAAAGTCACAAGCTTATATAAATTAGTTCCGAAAAAACATACTCCTAAATAATTATTTGTATACATTGTACTCCTACGTAGCATACAAAAGACTATTGAAAAAGTTTATTCAAGTGCGAGGGCTCTAGATAATCAAACTAAGGCAGACCTAATTATAATTTTCAGTTTTTAATTTTTTTTTATTTTTCATATTCATGATCTCTATATTAAATATTATATATTCTCTAAAATTTTATTACCAAGATTGCATTTCTACAATATGCGAGCTGGCCGCATGTAAACCGTATCCTTTTGTGCATGTAAACCGTATCCTTTTGTGATGGGAAAGCTTTTTATATTTCCCCTACAATATAGAAGTTATATCCTTCCCCTTATCCAACCGTCCATTTTTTAATAGAGGGTTGAGATTGTCCCAGTCACAATGTCACGTCTCTACACTGTTTTATTTTTAATTTTTTTTTTCTATAAACTAATTTGATATCAAATTTCGGACGTTCATTCCTCTATTAAACTTGCACTAATGAAAAATATAAAAAAAATATTTTCAATAAAATAAAATGACCAAAATACCCTTGAAATTTCCAAGGGGTATTTTGGTCATTATTTTTATAAAAAAATTTATTTTTAATATTTTTTATAGGTGCGTTCCAATGAAAAAATGACATGCACCAAATTTCATATTCAGAAAAATTGTATTAAAAAAAATAAAAATAAAATACTTTAAGACATCGGATCTAAGATCAAAGGATGAGTGGCTCTCTAGATAAAAAATAGATAGCTGGATGATAGGGAGAAGATAGAACTTTTGTGTTGTAGAGATAACATAGAAAACTTTTCTTTTTTATGATCATGTAGAGAGAGATAAAAAGAGTTTCTCTCTCTCCCAAGAGGCGCTTAACCGGCCTAGAGAGAGAGGCTAACCAACATGGCTGACGTAAGGGAATGGGGAAAGAAGCACTAACAACATCCCTCACATCACTTATCGCCAGATAACAAGGTTATTCTAATCATCCTTCTTCTTTTTTTTTTCTTTTTGTATTATTTATTTTCTAACCGGAGGAGATTAGAGAGAAAGAGAGGTGGGGAAAGTCCAATATTTAAGAT